TAGAAATTTTATATTTTTCCACTTTGATAGCAGATCTTCGGAAGTCAGAGCGAAGAAGCCTGGATGAGTTCACAAAGCATGTCATACCGCAGGTTGCCGGTCAGCGCGCGCTGGTCCCAAAAATTTTTTAGGTGTCCAATCTCTCCATTCTCTCTCTCTTCTCAAATTATTTCTCGAGTGCATCATGAGCAGACAGACTGATGACAGATGAGAGCATTTTATCAGCAAAAAAACAGCAAGAGGGCGACGCGGCGTTCTACGAAAGTGTTGGAGGATCCAACTTCCAAGATCGTGACACTTTGGATGGTGCGTAAGTGGGGTTAGAAGACTTTTTTAACGACACTTTCGAAGCAGTAGAAGTCGACGACAGTTCCCCGAAGAGAAGCAGCCGGTGGATCCTGGAGCGCCTTTACAGAGTGCGGTATGCAATTCTTTCCAAGTGTGGTCCCACCCGAACCTTGTTGTTCCACTAATGAAATGTGAAGAATGTATATTTGTAAATGGTAATTAGTTGCCAATTTGCTCTTGAAAACAGTCATTTGAGCGGAGATGGTCCTGTGGCAAAAACCACTCGCATTGTCCTTGGATTAGATCCTGGTCCAAATCCAGCGTACTCTAGCCAGATTTCTATAGTTTAGATGATAGTTGTTGCTAGGTGCGATAGCTACTGCACAAAACAGTCGATAATATAGTTTCAAAAAAGTTGTTCAAAGGATTAAGTTTTCCTTCCACATTCTTTGCACTCGTAGAATGTTCTGCAGACCACAAGGCCCGTGAAATTTCATCAAATTGAAAACAAGCTCTTACTTCACTTTCCCTCGGAAAAATCGAGCAAATGTGTACCTTCTACTTTGGACCTCTCCTAAACGTTTTGCTCATAGTTTGTCGAAAACCCTTGACATGCCTCTTTTCGAATTTGCTTTTTTTTGGTTGGTCGCTGAGCCATATCGGTGTTCAAACTAAAAAAAATTCCTCTAAAACCCAACTGTCTTACGATATAACAATTAGCGGCACCATTCCTAAGCACTTTTTCTGCTCTATTCGACACAGCGTTCTGTTTCCATTTTTGTTATAAATCAATCCGAACTCTGGGCCTACAGTCTAGGACATTCCACTAGTTTTTAAATGCTTCGACTGTGAAAATATTCGGGATTAGATTTCACTGGCTAGTTCTTAGTAACCGAGTTTTAGTGAAAAAAAAGCAAATTTGAGAAAGGAACGGCGATTGGTGATACCTTATAGCGCAATGTTCAAAAGTCTTCGTGACAGTATGGTTTGTTTCCTCTTCAGTGGCTTCTATGGGGAAATAGAGCTTAGAGCTACGTAGTTGTCGACTTGCTTAATTTTCATCGAATGGGCCTCCCATTTTTCAGGCCTGAAATTTAAAGTGTCTGCAAGGATTGTAAAAGAAAAGCATATCGTTCCGTAGAATAGCAAATCTATTCCGAATGGTATCGGAAATCATCTGAAAGCCTGTGGATCAAGCAGAAAAAAATTTCTGGCTCGCGTGGGCGAGAAGGCCGAAACGTTAGCCGAATAAAGCTCTGCGTCATCTTGGCTTGAGGCTTCATAAGCAAATAAGCAAACCTTAAAAGAAAAATTCCCACTTGAGTAAAATGACACTTGTGCGACAACCTAATAGATAGCAATAAGGAAAGCGCTGGTGGAAACACTACGGTGGATGCGGTAGAACTGTTCAACCAGACCCTAGAATCTCGAGCTATGCATCTTCGAAACGTGCGGTTGGTTGTCGTACAGCGGTCAAATTTTTTGAATTGCAAAGGAAAGTTGTAGGAGTTTCAACATAAGTTTTCCCCAATAACAGAAGCCCCGGCCAGTCATGGCTGTGATGCGACGAAGAAGTTCCCCTTCGTTAACTCGCGAACACTCCACTTGCCTACGGGTACATAACTTGTTCCTGGATCTAGTGATTTTCCTGCTGCTCTTCATCGATCCAGCTCCCTGTCTTCCATAGCAAGGTGAAAATCGTGTCGAGGACGTGGACGCAGAAGTACCATCCCCCTCACTATCAGATCGGGGTCTTGATA